GAATTGTCTTCCCAATGTAATAATTACATATACCAATGTAAATGTCACTTCATTACCTCTTATGCTCCTATATAACCACGAATTAGGGACCCTTTCAAAACATCATTCACAATTAAACAAAATTTCATCACGTGTTCTCTCAAAAGATCAAGTCATTCTCTCCAAAGTTCACCTTCAAACAATCCTAGGAAAACGCTCCATAAGATAGTTCTCATGAATCTTTGTAAGCTTCCTTAATTTATTTAGTATCTATACAACATTTTCATGTTAGTACATCTAATTTATACATACTATTATGTGTTAAAAATGATTAGGATATGACTACCTTCAAGTATTCTAACTTGAAGATCATCACCCTCACTTCCTTATCAAACCGCCAATACACATAAGCTGAGTTCATACCCCTACATTTTTCAACACCTTTTCTATGTTTTAGGGGGGGGGGGGATACAAGTAACACACAAGAAAATTTACATTAAACGCAAACATTCAAATACATTTAGTTACTACTTTTACGAAAAGTGATAAATACGTGAAATGGCTTTACTACCAACCTCATATACTTTTACATACAAAGTTTTGATAAAAATGTAAGGATATGTAAAACATGTACAAAATACACCACATTATTCTTATAAATACATATACATAACTAGATATATTCTGAGTACAAATTATTTACTACATTAAACTATATAAATATAGTTTGTGAAACCTTACCACCTTTGTAACTCGTTGAGCAAAGGGTGTAATTATATAAAGTATATATAATTGTTTTACATCATTTTCTATATTATCCTGGAAAAATGGGATAATTACATATACAAACGTTTTTCGTTATGAAAAATACGTACTCTCTTTGAATAAATTTGTGAGACATTGTCTTTATCATACCTACCGAGGTATACACGAAAGTTCTGTTTTATAACCAGAACCCCCCCCCCCCCCCCCCCCCCGTAAGAGAGCGTGATACTTTTGTATAGATCTATACGAGACTGAAGATCCCACACCCTAACTGTTAGCTACAATTAGACTGGCAGGTTATGGGTGACAAATGTCATAAACACTTCGATGTCTGAAGAACTTCGCGGCAGGGAACTTCATTTTTAGAATGATTATGAAAACTCACATGGGGAAAAGACGATACATTTATTTTACATGAAAACACACTTCTTCAAACAGTTTTATATACAAATAGAACTACATATTACTATTTTAAGTATGGAAAATACTTGTACATTCAATATTGGAACATTTAAGACAACAACTCATTATATGGAAAGTAACGGATTTTCTGGAAACAAACACGATTACTTTATAAAGGAAGGTTTATAATTATTCATACAAACTCTTATGAACTCACCAACTTAATTGTTGACACTTTTTCAAACAACTTGTATTATCAGGAAACCATTAAAACAGGTAACCACCAGCTTTTGATGATAGGACGCTAAGGCGTCAAACAGATCTTTTGTCATCATATTGTAATTGACTTTTGAAACATATAACACTTACAATGATGTAACTTTTTCAATTATATATTAAATAAAAAGTTGATGAGTTTAATGCCTAGATGTATGTTGCATATAAATCAACAAGCCAAGATATATTGAGTACAACAGCATACACGTGTCTCAAGATTTGGATAAAAAAAATTGTATAGTTGGAAGTGAGGCAACCGGTTGTTGACATTTGCACATTTTAAAAAGTAAGAGATTAGAAAAAGTTTGATTGCGACGAGTCTACAACATTTTGGAAATCATATTCGTCGGAAAAAGATAACTTGTAAAGTTATATGCTCTTGGAAGCCGTGTTTTGTAGAAAAAGAGAGTTTCAATGCGTGTCTCATTAAAAGGTGAAAAATTTTTCTTGGAAATTGAAGAAAAATTGTTGACTGGCGTGTTTTAGGGCTCGTGTCCAACTAAAAAAGTGTTTTGAGAAGAGTGTTTTGTTGGAAAGCAAGATTTTAGGCTCCGTGTCTTTGACATTAGTGAGTTTTAGGGAAGCGAAAGAGTTGGATATCGAGATCGAAAATATTTGGTCTTCGTTATGGATGGTTTGTAGTTTAAAGGCTACCCATTGACAAAGTGTTTTTGGTGATTAGTCAAGCTTTGTTTTGGATAAGGTTTGCATAAAGAAATTTTTTCAACTTTTTCGACATCAGAGTACAAGTCAAACCTTTTGGGAAGGTTGGAGAAGATGTGTATGGGAAGGCATAAAAAACTTCGATTTTGATGACGAAGTTTAACCTTTGCCTTTGACCTTCGCTTTTGATAACAAAACTTTCTTAAAGAACATTCTCTTCATTTCATTTTTGTTTCTTCTCTTCCTTTTGGTCTGATTCTCTAGAAAATCGAAAAATACAAAAATATTTTCGTTTTTATTCTTTGTTCTTTGTTCTTTGAAGCCTCACAAAAGTTTGAAAAACTCAAAAAGATTTTTGTTTTGTTTGTCTTTTTGTTTGAAGCCTCAGAAAAACTCGAAAATCCAAAAATATTGTATTTTAATTTGTTCTTGGATGTTTTGGGTGTCAAACTTTGCTCATAGTTTTTGATTAATGAAGTTTGTTCAGACACGTCACAAAGTTTGCTTCAAGATCTCACTTATGGATTTCCTTCAAGATCTCACTTACGAAGTTTGTTCTGCCACTTCTCACTTGCGAAGTTTGCTTCAAAGGTCTTACTTGTGAATCATACTCAAATATGTTGCTTGGAAAGCTTGTTCAAACGTCTTACTTGCAAAGTTTGAGTATCAAAGCTTTAAAGACATGACTGTCGAAGATATGAAGTCTTGGGTGTCGAAGTGTTAAAGCTTTGAAGACTTGAATGTCGAAATGTCGAATTTCAGATCTGAAATTTTTTTTAGACATTGATAATGAAGGTTCATTTCTTTCGACATTGATAACAAATGTTCATTTTTTCGACATTGATAGTGAACAACTTATGCAAATATCAGATACCACAGTTAATATCATGTTGGATTGTGTACCAGTTTAGACAGTTGAAATCTACCCGAATTATGTAATGAGAACTCGAAAAAAAATTATTGGTCCACTGAATGCAATTAAAAGATAATTGATAGAAAATTATATATTATTATTTGTTATTTTATGGCATTAATCCTTTAAACAATTGTCAAAAAAACGAGTTTTATTCTACCATCATCAAATTTATGTAAAACCGATATAGATTAACATAACGATCTTTCAAAACCAAAATCATAATGAATTTATAAATACCACAATCCTCATACATTTGCTAGCTTTGAAACACTTTTCAACCCTATCAAATCACTATCGTACCCCTCATCCCACACCCATCATTCTTACGCTACAAATAGAACCATGTTGTGTGCTAGACCAAAATATAGTTTAGGTCATGTGCAATTTTGCTAAAGTTATTGGCAAAAAATCTCATATTCACCAAACTAATGAAAATTTGGTGTCGATGGGAAAAAGCACTTTTTTCATAAATGTTTAAAAATCAAACTTTTTTACAAGGCACATGTGGTATTTCTATAACTATCAACAAAACATATTCTATCTACCAATAGAATGCTAACTTTGGTTTAATGAGGCATTCTAAAACTTAAAACTTTAAGTTACTTCAGTATTAATTTAGATGATTTGTTACCTTCTAAGATTTTAGGATTTTATTAAATGGAAATTTAATATAATATTTGAAAGGATGTATCTATTTATTTATTGATTTATTTATGTTGGAACAATTGAATTGAAACGGTATTTTCGTATGAAAATATATATATAACAAGAAAAATAATACTAGCTTTACATGTATTATTTAATGATTATAAAATGGTTTTGACCAAAGGTATCAAATGTATTAAGGGATGTTTGTTAGGCAAGACGTAATCGTTTCTCTCCTCCCGTTCAAGCGGCTGGACCCAAGGTGAAGGGATTTGAACTCGTCCAAGCCGGATTCCTCCCAACCTGTCTTCCCCAAATTTCTTTTTTTGTTTCAACCTCCAGTGTGTTTCTCAAACCGAAACACCCTTCTCTTTCTATCTTGCTCTCCTCCTGTTTATCCCTCTCCTCCTCCAACCCGTTACGATTCATTCCCCTCTTAGCCGTATAAGAAAATATATTCCAAACAAGTCACTTATGTCGTATGACAATAAGTGGCAAATAGTAAACAAATAAATGGCTTTTGTAGGGAATATAAGTATACAACCAATTTTTTTCATTAAAGTTGTTGAGTAGAATCTTATAAAGAAGGTTTTGAGGTGAAGTACAAACTTTTGATTGTTACTATTTCACGGTTTGGTTACCTCTAATCACGGGACAACATGTGATTTAGTTTTTTTTTTTTTTTCCTTAAGTTTTGTAACATTGATTATTGATACAATATCAACCCTCAAGTTGGCTCACTAGTTGAAAATCTAATTTTTAGTTTATAAGTTTATCAAAAACTAACTTGCTTACATGTTACTTTATAAACTACGATAAACTATTTTTATGTTTTTATCAAATAATAAAAAAGTTTGGTGTTTAATTTCAAAACCACTATTTATAGGCTTAGTGTTTGGCGAATTTAAAAACCATTTTCAAAATAACTTTTCTATTAGTTTCAAAACAAGATTTAAAAAAAAAATACAGAACTTAACTTTTTGAACCTTGTTTTATTTTTTAAACCATAATATTTTAAAATAGAAAATTTTAAGCTAAACACTTTTAATTTATTAATTTTTTGGCTTCTGTGGCACCATCATAAATCAATAAGACTTTTGTCCATAAACATTTTTGAAGTTAAAAAATCAATTCTAACAACCCATAAATTATAATAAAATTAAAAAAGTTTATATGTGGCAAACAGAACATTAAGCATCGACTAAACAAAAAAAAGCCTAAACTATAGAGCATCAACTAAGCAAAGATATCAACGACCCGACACCAATCAACACAAACTTGATCAAAAGCATCATAGTCAATGGACTATTCATAATTATCTTACCATAAAACAATTGTAAAATTGTAGACAAAACTAAAGAGCATCAACAGCCACATGAGTCTCAGAATCTATGAAATTTTCCCTACTACAATATATAACCACACCAAGCGACAGATACATGATCAATAACACGATCCATTGTCGAGCAATCGAAGAAGACGCTAACTGCTGCGATTTAGGGTTGGAAGGCTGACCAAATTCGTTGTGAGTAGTTTCCGAACATTGTCGATTAGTCTTCTTAAACGAGTAAATAGGATCCACTGACCAAGAATGTGGGATATGAATTTGTAAATCTTGATTTAAAACAGGAATTGGATCTGAACCCACATTCGAATCTGAACAAGAAGCAAAGGGTTTCGGGGAATCACTAGAATTATCAATGTTCTCTCTAAGATTTAGGGCATCAACTTCTTGTGAAGACGATTTAGAAGAATCAAATATAAGCATATCTTCAAATGCCGGAATGGAGATTTCATTATCTTCCGGTAGATTGCAGAATTGCGACGGTGTTGTTGGGATCTTCGAGCACGATGGAATAAGCGGTTCCTTTTCCATCAGGAATTCCTCGAAAATACTTCAATTCAACAAATCAATCAAGGGTGTTTCCCCATGTGGGTATTCTACTAAACAAGAACAAAGAACATGAGATTAACAACGAACCTTATGATACATGCAAATCGATTCAGGACAAATTCTGATTATCTGATAGGAGTGTTAGTTATATGGATCTTATTCATTTTTTTTTTCTTTCAAAAACTAGTATTGTGTAGATTGAAGACCGAGAATGAGGGGTGATTAAACTGGTGTTGATCGAGTCATTCTCTAATGTTTAGGGTCCTACGAATGCTCCGTGAACCTTTTTATTTTTATTTTTATTATATATTTTTTTGGGAGTAAACTACAAATTTAGACCTTTGACTATTTTTCAATTTACATATATATTTAGTTTGTTGATATAAATGATATTATTATTGTTATTATTATAGAAGCCAAACAATAGATTTAATTGACTATGTTCATTCATGAAAATTATTAGACTACCATGTCATGAGATAGACCGTTTATATTTGAAGCTTGTGATATTCGAAAATATATGATAATTTCATTTAAGGTATTTAATTTTCAAATGATCAATTCTATATAGTGACATATCTGTAACGTCCCAAAAATTCATAGTAAAATTTTCATTTTTAAAGCAAATAACCATACAAATGAGTTGTTTCAAAACCGGTCAAAGTGAATATATTGTTTAAACATCCGAGTATAAATCACAAATAGCCGATGGAAATACTTAGGGGATGCGGTGCAGTCACGTCGACCTTTCCTTTTCGTATCAGAAGTACTTGAATACCATAAACATAAAACTGTAAGCACAAAGCTTAGTGAGTTTCCCAAAATACCACATATCATACATATCATTGCACTAAGCCCCGAGGTATATTCCAACCCAACATAAAATCACGGACATAGGCTTGTGGCCTAGCCCTGGGGTTTCTTTCAACCCAACATACAATCATGGGCCCAACCCTGGGGTTTATTTCAACCCAACATACAATCAAGGGCACATCCCTAGGGTTTATTTCAACATGAACATACAACAATGGGCCTAAACTTGGGGTTTATTTCAACCCAATCATACAAACATGCAAGAGTCACAAAGATATATATCATCATACATACACAACCCAGTGGTTCGGCATTAGTGCCTTCGACCCATAAGTACAGTGAGAAAACTCACCTGATTCACAACATCGACTAAAAACTCAGCTCAATGTCGCACCGACTGCAACTAGTAGCTCTCACCGCCAAAAGATGGGCGTTAAATACTTCCTATCAATCCATACAAGACAAAACCTAAGTCTACCTTCTAAAAATAAAAACTTGGCCAAAAGTCAACCCATGCCAAAAGTCAACGGTCAAAGTCAATTACCAATATTGACTTTAGTCAATCACCACGTCGTTGCCTTTCTTGGCCACATCGTGGTCCTCATGAGATCAAATAGACGAGAAATTCTCAGTCGCCATGCCGTGGCGACTTAAGGCCATGCCATGGGAGCTGAGTGTAACATCCAGAAAAATCACAATAAATTTAAACTTTAAAAATCAACCCAAAATCATAAATTGTTTACAAATCATGGTTTTCAAAATATTTTCCAAATATTAGAGTCTCCCAAAATCATAAGCCATAAACAAGAGGACGTGTACGGTGATACTTTCGCGTTCCCACGATCATCCGAAGTACATAAAACCATAACCCAAAACACTAAGCCAACGCATAGTAAGTTCCCCCAAGGTACCACTATATAAACATAATAACAAACAACATGCATACAGAGCCTTCAGCCTGACTGGAACGTTGCGTCGGCCTACAAACTATCTAGACCGCTCACAAAACCTTCAGCATGACTGGACCACCTCACCGAGACTTCAGCCTATCTGGACCGTTCTCCGGGCCTTCAGCCTGACTGGTACGCCTCTCAGGCCTTTAGTCTATCCCGACTAACCTGAGCCTTTTGGTCTTCAGTCTACATTGGTCCGCCTCAACCCAACCTCACATAACATGTTAACATATATAAAACAGATAAACATATAACCAGTCAGTAGACATCAAGCAGATCTAAGAGATCATTACAACAAAACAACATCCTATATACCAGGATACAGATCTCACAAATCACTACAACATAGCATCATATCTAAACCAGGATATCAATCCAATGGGGCGGCCTTAGTGCCTTCGACCCATAAGTACAGTGAGGAAAACTCACTTCGTGGTTCGAACAATAGCCGATGATGTCCCGACTTCGAATATCAGCCCTAACTGCTACCTATACATCCAAAGGACCAATTCTCAAACACCATTCAAATTACCCCCAAAACACTCCTTGGGTCTACTAGGTCAAAAGTTCAAAAATTCAAATGATCAAGAAAGTCAACCAGACTAAGTTACACCCCGCGTTCTTGGCATGTATGCCCGACGTACATGTTATACAAATCGTGGTCCTCTATGGCGTACGCCTAGCGTACAACAGGTCACGCCCAGTGTATGCGGTGGTTTTCCAATCTTCCTTTTAAGAGCTTATTTCATTAAGCCTCCACATCCAAAACCTTGGTCTTAGTCCCAAAAGTCATTCCAAACCATAAAGTTTCCAACTTTATGGTTCTACATGCCTAAATCAAGCCCCACAACAAACCCTAACTTCTCTTAATCACTAAAGCTCTTAACTTTATGGTTTTACATGCCTTAAAACGACGTCGTTCCGCGAAATGGGCATTATGCCCAATGTACTAAGCCATTACGCCCGACGTAACATCGATTGTCCCAAATTTACGAGATTGCCACTATGGGCCAATTTTGGAATCTTTTCCATACAAAAAGGCTAGATTGAAATACTCAACATCCTTAGGGTTGCATTCGAAAGTACGTCAATGTCGGGATGTTACAATTCTCCCCCACTTGAATTAGACTTCGTCCTTGAAGTCGGTCGTCGCAAACAACTCAGGATAATGCTCCCGCATCTTAGCCTCTGGCTCCTAGATCCACTTGGATCCCCTCCGATGCTGCCACTAAACCTTTACCAAAGTTATTTCCTGGTTATGTGGGACCTTCATCTTCCCACCAACTGATAAGGCACCTAGCCTACCATGGAAATCACACGGAAAGGCCCAATATACCGGGGACCCAATTTCCCCGTCTTCCTGAAGCATATCACACACTTCCAAGGTGAGAACTTTAGGAGTACCATATCGCTGACCTGAAACTCCAACTCTGATTGGTGCCAGTCGACATAGCTCTTCTGCCAACTATGAGCGGTCTGCAGTCTCTTCTTGATCTGTTGAATAAGCTCCATGGTCTAAAGGACTACCTCGGTCCTTCCCATGAACCTATAACCAACCTCTCCCCAATAAATTAGGGTACAACATCTCCGACCATACAAGAGCTCAAATGGTGGAGCACTAATGTTGGAGTGATAATTGTTGTTGTAGGAGAACTCCTCAAGAGGTAGCTAGGAATCCTAACTCCCACTAAAATCAATGATGTAAGCCCGCAACATATCCTCAATGTTATGGATGGTCCGTTTGCTCTGACTGTCGGTTTGCGGATGATAAGCAGTGCTGAAATGTAACCTTGTGCCCAGTTCCTCATGGAACTTCTGCCAAAATCGAGATGTGAACCAAACATATCAGTCTTAAACAATGGAAATTGGAACTCCATAACGAGCAACGATCTCCTGAACATAAACATTGGCCAACTTTTCGGCCGAAGAGCTCTCCCGTATAGCCAAAAAGTGGGCACAATTTGTCAATCGATCCACGATGACCCATATAGCATCAAAACCCTTGGCCGTCTTTGGCAACATGGTGATAAAATCCATGGTGAACTATTCCTACTTCCACATGGGAACCTCCAGAGGTTACAACTTGCCACGTGGCCTCTGATGCTCAGCCTTGACCATCATGTCATTCACGCACCTCTCGACATACCAGGCTATCTCCCTCTTCATACACGACCACCAGTAACTCAATCTCAAATCTCGATACATCTTGGTGGCTCCCAGGGTGTATAGAAAAACGAGACTTATAAGCCTCCTCCAACAGAATCTGCCTAATCTAATCGGAAAATGGAACCCAAACCCGACCACACCGGGTTAAAAACCCTCGACTATCAGTGACAAACCTATCGATCTCACCCCTGATCCTCTCATGTTTCCAGTTCAATTTATGAACTTCGTCTGCCTGCGCCTCTCTGATCAGTCCCAAAATCAAAGAATCAATGGATATCCTCATACAGATCACCCCAACTGAAGAGCCAACCGACTTACGGCTCAATGCATCAACAACTACATTCGTTTTACCCGGATGGTAAAGGATCATGCAATCATAATCCTTGACTACGTCCAGGCACCTGCGCTGCCTCATGTTCAGGTTCGGCTGTTCCATAGAATATCTTAAAATCTTGTGATCCATGTAGATAGTACAACAGACCCCATAAACATAATGTCTCTAAATCTTGAGGGAAAACACCATTACCCCTAACTTCATATCATATGTGGGATATCGTGTCTTATGCAGCTCCAGCTGCCGCGAAGCATAAGCGATCACTCATCTTCTCTTCATAAGGATCACCCCCAAACTGATGATAGATGCATCACATAATACTACAAAATCCTCAACTCCCTCCGGAAGGGTCAATACCGGGGTCTCGCATAACCTCTGCCGAAGATTCTCAAACACCGACTACTACTTAGGGCCCCACCAAAAATCCACTCCCTTCATCGTTAGACGAGTGAGGGGTACTGCAATTTTTGGAGAAATCCTAAAACAACCTCAGATAGTACCCCGCTTAACCAAGAAATTCCTAATCTCTAACGGAGATTTCGGAACCTCCCACTATATCACCACCTCGATCGTGACCGGATCGACCAAAATCCTATCCTAGTTAACGA